AATTCAGCATAAGGTTCATTAGCTCCTTGTATTACCTTAGATAATTGACCTTGTAAACCTCCATGTCCTTGTAAAGTCTTCCATGCCTTAATTGCATCTACAGCAATTTGTGCATATACGCCAGGATCATATGCAATTTGTTGCTGCTGATCCTCATAAGGTCCCTTTCCTAACAACATATCTAGATTTCTCTGAGGATAACCAGCTGCTGCATTTCGCCTAGCCGTCTCCTTGCAAAATTCCTCATTGGCAACCTTCCATAACAGGTATTGTCCTCCATTTAGCACAGCTTTACACATATTAGCCCAATCTGCTGGCGTCATGTTCAAGTTGTTAATGGATTCGACCATGCTTACAGTGAAGGGTGCTTGAGGACCATAGGTTGTTACAGCCTCTTTTAGCTGCTTCACTGTTTTGAAATTTAAAACTTGGTAAAATCGCTGCCCTCCTGCCTCAAATACAGGGCATGTTAATATTTGAGATCTTGTCTCAGGATCCCAACTATCAACTGCAGGGGTTGGGGACCTCCCAGCATATGGAGGTGGCCTTGTTAGTTGGACACTTACGTCCTCTGGTGATAGAAAGGTGTTAGTAGCAGTCTCCTGTAGAGGTGGTGCTGTTGGTTGGACACTTACACCCTCTGGTGATAGAAAGGTGTTAGTAGCAGTCTCCTGTTGTAACTTTCCCCCTGATGGCTTTTTCTGTTTTACACTTTCTTTCTCTGTCTGACTAGCTTGAGAGGCCTTCTCTTTTACTTGAATCTTTTCCTCTGACTAACTTGAGAGACCTTCTCTTTTACTTGAATCATTATGTCTTCTTCTTCCTCTACCATTGTCTGAACTGAAGGCTTTGGACTAAGCAAACAAGATATGAACGTCCACAATGGCAATGTGCCAACTGGCAGAGTCCCTGGGCTTTTCTTTTCTATTCTTTTTAAATCTTCACCATGATGGTTCCATTGTGATATATTTAACAACTCCTCCTTAAAAAGCCATGGGCTACATTTTTGTATTGTATCAACGTATGCCCTGATTGTTCTTGATTTTACTGAGATGCCTCCTTCCTCTAACAATTTACTTAACACTCTTTCAGTTTGTTTTTTACTAATTTCTGATCCCGTATTTCTACTATAATACAACCCAACAAGATGACGCCAAACAAAACCGAGACAGAATGAAATAAAAATGGAACAACAAAAAGTCATTATAGCCTTTCTATCCTCCTGACATGTGCATCCGTCCTTTCTCCCTATCTGTTCCTCAGACGTAAATAGTTTTTCCTCAGATGTGAGCGGTTTTTCTTCCGTCTCACTCATCTCCAGGGACAGGCAACTTAAAACAAAAGTGAAGCAAAATAAAAGAGGAATCTTAAAATGGCTACCCATCCTCTCGCCCTGCCCTCAGGGGCGAGCAGTTTCACTTACCCTCAGTCGCTCCCCATGCGAGCCACCAAATGCCGCAGTCTGGCTGGGCACAATCAGGAGCCACTTGTCAAAAGAAACTAACTTTATTTTTAGAACCACACACGCCAAACAAAACAGCCTCTCAGGAAAAACCCTCAGAGCCTCAACTGCCACCACCGGCTTTCCACAAGCCTCTCTCTCCCACACAAGCTTCTCTCCACCTCCCACAATCCTCCTGCTCTTGAGGCCGATTGGCTGGGTCACGTGGGCGGAGCCAAAAAAGTCCCCCAATGAGCAGCTCCGTGGTCTGAAAGGGCAGGGAAACAGCCCAATGAGCATCACTGCAGAGGAGCCAATCAGCTAGATGTTGCTGGGGCCGAGGAGCCAATCAGCTAGATGTTGCTGGGGCCGCTGTGAGCCAATCATCAGCCGGCAGCTGGAAGTTTGCTGGCAGCTGGAAGTTTGCTGGGGCCCCTTCGGCTGTGGCTCTCAACAGTTTTTCTAATCCAAATATATTAAAAATACAATACAGCACATCGAACCACAGAATATTTATTGAATAATAAACTTGCGGCATACAATCCAGCTGTAATTTTTTGCATTCATTTTTCCATTCAACTTCCATCACATTAGCAGATTAACTAGTATGTTTCTAAAAGATTTTATTATCCCTCTATGCATCCTTTAGATCCTTGCAAGCACAGAGCTGAATTTAGAGAGGTGCTAAAATTCACCTCTCAGACCAAACTAAGATTAGTACTTGGCTTCTTGTTTCCCCTCTGCACTTAAGTCTCCAGCCCAGACACACCTTTTATGGACACAAGCGGGAATCAAAAAAAAAAAAAAAAAAAAAAAACAAGGCAACAGTTTTACAGTTTATAGTATAACCAGTTTGAAGGGTTCCCTTCCTCATAGGCCCATTCATTTATAGTGAGTTAAATCTCACTGCTAAATAATACATTTTGAAACTCCGCAACCTGGCATGATGCCTTCCTCAACTTACCACTTTACTTACATTAGCAGCTGGGTGGCTTGAGGATGGGGGTGGGAGGATAATGACACAGGGATGGGTTCAGTTACTACCCTCACTTATTTTTTGTCTTCCTATCCTCACACCAGATTATCACTTGTTTCTAATTTTCCTGTGAGACTCCCTTGTCTGGTTGCCAAATTTTAAAACACCAAAGACAAAATTACATTATACTCTGAGTGACTACTTACAAGTACTTTAGAATACATATTTACAAAGACAAACACTGGAAAGAAACACAAAATACAAATGATAATTGATGGGAAGGAACTGTAATTTTTCTTCCTTATTTTTTTACTATTATATTTGTACAATAAATTAAAAAGGAGGGATAATCTTATCAGAGCAATAGACATGAGGTGGGAAACTAGATAAGTTTTCTTGGAGAACAAAATATATATATATATACATTTAAAATACAATAGCCTTACTATTGACTTGATGGCTCAAGTGACTAAGCATAGTTTGAAGCATTAACTGTAATAAGCTGAAAATGAAATACTTTTAGCCCTTTTATTCTTCCCTTTACTTCCCCAAAGAATATGCTACCAAAACAATTCTTTGGCAGATCTTTCCTATACAAACCCCGATGAAAGGAATGGTAAGGTTCTGAAATAAATACCTTTTCTTTCATTTACTCAACAAACAGTCGTTGAGCATCTACTCTCTGGAGGACACAAGAGAATCAAATAAAAATTCACAATATTTGGATATCACAAAATTGCTACTGTTAAAACTACCATGCCAACTAAAAATAATGTCCTGGGGCTGGGGTTGTAGCTGAGTGGTAGAGTACTTGCCTAGCACGTGTGAGGCACTGGGTTCGATCCTCAGCACCACATAAAACATAAATAAAGATATCGTGTCCATCTATAAGTAAAAAATATTTTTTAAAAAATAACGTCCTTAGAGAATAAAACTTTTAAGTGGGAATTATAAACTTTAGGTTTTATTATATAAGGAAGTAAATGGATTAAGACAAGTTTGGGAACTTGGTTCTGTTTTTCTTTTGCAATACTGGGGACTGGACACAGGGTTGCTTTCCTACCGAGCTACATCCCCAGCCCTTTTTATTTATTTATTTTTTATTTTGAGACAAGGTCTTGCTAAAATGCTGAGGCTGACCTAGAACTTGTGATCCTTCTGCTTCAGCCTCCAGAGTTGTTAGGATTACAGTCATGTGCCACTGTGCTCAGCTCTAGTTTCCTTTTAACTTTAGGAAACTACAGATTTATTAGGCTCAGCAAAATGGATAAATACAAATCCCTTCAAGTTCAGGGGTCATGAATGTTGTTACATGCGACAGCTGTTTAGTTCAGTAGTTGTGGGTTAAAAGTAGACATTTACTTAGAACATACAGAAAAACCTGTGCTCTATACTATGAAATATGACTGCTTTACTTATAAATTCCTTAAAGAAAAACCACTTTAAACTATTATAAGGAGAGAGGGCATTTAAAAATAGCACAGTCTGAATTTACCCATCACCCAGTAACCTAAATTCATCCTATGTACATAATAACAACACAGATCAAACAGTTTCCAACCATAACAAGTCAAAATTTCCATTGCCCCTCCCCTTTTACACTTGTGACCTAACTAAAATTGAACAAAATAAGGGAAGGAAAAATATTATGATCACAATTTTTACTTTAAAAAATGTGATGAAATAAGGGCCTTTTATACAAAGTTAAGAATTAAAATGAATGATAGATATAAAAACATAAACTGAAAGCTTTAACCATGCTTAAAATGAAATCTACCTATTACATAAAGGATAGGGTTAAAAAAGTTTAATATCATTTTATCTACATCTATTTGAAACAACTAAGTTAAAATACTATATTTTTCCCATCAGTACTCTTGACCGTAGTTGACTCTCACTCTTTTTAGATGTTATCTTATCATTAAAGTACCACTTAGAAATACTAATTTATATTGGCATAGCAATAAATTTCCCAAGACTTTATATTTGAGAGAACTTTTTGTTTCTTGCAGTACTGAAGATCAAATTCAGGGCCTTACACATGCCAAGCACCTGCTGCTCTACCACTGAGCTATACCCCCAGCCCCTAAAATAACTATTTTTAAGTAATTTATTAGGAATTCCACCTAATGTTCACATTTTCAATTCAACAAATCCATAGGCTAGTATGCATGTTGGTTTGTTAGTTTTAGAATGGAGGTAGGGACTTAAACCAAAATTACATTAATTCCTGGGCAGACTGTATATTGCATTATACAAGTCAGTTTTCAAATTCCAGATTTTCTTTTTTCAGCAAAGCCTTCATTTTGTTAACAAAAATAGCCTCCTATATAGCTTCTATCAAGTCCATTTATAACACATTCAACACAGAGGAATGATCATTTCCCACAAGTTCAGTGGGATGGGGGAGAGCATCATGTAGAGCCAATAGTAGCACCGAACCATGGCATGTGATTAAGGTTTCTCATCTCACTGATTCTTTCTCTCTATGCCACCTCCCCTAATATAGTAGGATTTCACTCATATTTTGGATTTTTAAACCAGAAAGTTGTAAGTCAATCCAAAATAACCCAAAGAACTTACTAAAGATATATCAATAAGCAGCTTTTTATTGAGGGATTGAAAGAGTTAAATAGAAGGCACAGTAGCACTGTAAAGCTTTTTCAGAGCATAATAATCTTTTTGTGTATATGTATGGAACCCAGGCTTTCTTTTTTGTTATTAAAAATATCTGCTGAGCAGTCGGAAAATCCTCATTTGTCATCCTTTCCTTTGGTCTTTCTGTATACCATCTCTCGAAAACTGGCCAGAATCTTGTTCTCTCTCTTTCGTCTTTCTTCTTGGTTAAAGGATGCAAGGGCTCTCTTCTCATCAGCACTATAGATCTGGTTCTCTTTCCGCAGTCGCACAGCCTCCATTCGGCGATGCCTGGAGATAATTTTATTTTTGGCTTAATTTCTCAGTAATTCTTCTCACAGAATATCCTCATTAATCTTTTCTTAATAATACCATTTTTTTTGGTACCAGGGATGGAACTCAGGGGCGCTTAACCACTGAGCTACATCCCCGACCTTTTTTAATTTTTTATGTTGAGACAGGGCCTTGCTAAGTTGCTGAGGCTGGCTTTGAACTCATGATCCTCCTGCCTCAGCCTCCTGAGCTGCTAGGATTACAGGCATGCCTTACTGCATCCAGCTCTACTAGCAGTATTTAAGAGAGCCTATAGGTCCACATTCATTAAAATGATTAGTATTGTTAGAACTTTCAACTTTTGTCTATCAGATGGGTGTAAAATGGTATTTCATTAAATTCTTGATTTCTATTTCCAATAATAAGAATATCTTTTTAAGTGTATATTGGGCATATGTATTATTTCTTTTGACAAATGCCTGTTTGTGTCATTTTCCTATTTTTCTTTTGTGTTATTTACAGGTATTCTTTAAATTTTCTCAACTATGAGTTGTGTGTATTCTAAGATCATTCCAGTTTGAAACTTGTCTTTTTACTTATTTTAATGCATTGTTTCATGAACACAAATTCTTATTTTTAACCTAGGCAAATTTATCAATATATATTATGGTCAGTAGACTTTTTATTTTCTTTAGAAAATACTTCTTCATCCCAAGGTCTAAAAGATATCTGCTCTTTGAGTCCTTAATCTAGTGGCCCTGCCTTTCATATATGATGATTTAGGGTCTTACTTTCATCTTTTTCCATATGGATAACCATTTTTTTTCTTTTTCCATTTACTAAATAGTTCCCTCTTTTCCACTGATCTGACATGCCATATCTTTCATACACCAAAGTCCCATACACATATGGTTGTCCTTGGGCTCTGTATTTTATTCCAATGAGCAATTTGGTGTTCTCCTGTACTTTCTAAAGTGCTGTAGTTTCCTAAGTTCTCATCTCTGGTAGAGAAAATCTAACCTTCCCTACTCTTCTTCAGAAATGACTTGGCTTTTCTTGGCCTTTTCATCTAATAAATATATTTGAGAACCAGTTTGATAAGTTTCATGAAAAACTGTTTGATTGGAATTTTATCAAATCTATAGATCAATTTGGTAAGAAATGACAACTTTAAAATATTACCTTCCTATCCATGAACATGGCAGCTTTCCACCATTTAGGTCTTATTTAATGTCTCTTAATAATGTTTTCCCTGTAGAGGTTTGGGGCATCTTTTGTTAGATTCATTCCCCAGTCCTTTGTATTCTTTGACACTATTATAAAAGATGTTTCCTTTTTTTTATTTTATTACATTCTGTAGTTGCTTTTTGATGGTATATAGAAATGCAATTTACTTGTGTGTAGTAACCTTATATACAACAATTTGTTACACCCTTCTATTACTTATAATTCAACTAAAGATTCTTTGGAATTTTTTATGTAAACATATACTTCACAAAAAATGACTGTGGTATATCATTCTTTCCCATCCTTATGCCTCTGGTTTCTTTTCCTTGTCTTACTGTGCTAGGTCTCTGAAATGATGTTTCACATGTTGGTCCTCAGAATTCCCAAGATTCTGAAGGTGTGCTTTAGGGGTTCTGCAAATATTTGCTTCTAGTGTCATTTCAAAATAGTTATCTACTTTTTTTTACTTTTTAGTTATAGGTGGACACAATATCTTTATTTTTATGTGGTGCTAAGGATTGAACCCAGTGTCTCATGCATGCTAGGCGAGTGCTCTACCTCTGAGCCACAACCCTAGCCCTAGTTATCTACTTTTTAAAGAAGTAAGTTTTAAAGAATCCAAATTTCAATTTGATTTTAGTACTACTGCCCTATTACCTTACTCTCCTTGTTCTTCCTGGTTACTATGCTTTCTTCTCCCTAATTTTGTATTCCTTTCAGCATGCTGAACCTGACATCTTTCAAAATCCTTCTCTGCTATTCATTACCATAAAACTGGGTACATTGACAGCTGGAAGCAAGTTCAAAAACCAAGAAACATTTCTTGTGCAAATGTTTTTCTTACTACTAAAATGCCACATTCCTTGTAGAACTACGATAGATAGTTAAACTTCACTATATCTTCCAGTGGATAAAATATGTATCAAAAAATGAACTAGGAAAGGACACAGGAAATAGTGATTCTTCAAAGTTAGGGTTATAGTTGAGTTTGAGACTAAGTTTTATATAAACTTGGAATGTTAGCTAAGTATGTTTATACCAAAAAGCCAATATCAAACCAATATTTATACTCCAATTTCCAATCACCAAAATATTATTCTTGTAGAAGGAAAAGGAAAAGAGCTAATCATGGAAATTGAATTCAATGCCAAGAACATACCTGCTACCACTCATTACATAACCTGAGCATTCAAATGATGCAATTTCTTCACTTGTCAAGCCAATTTCACCTCTTCGTGGGATACGTTTTCCAGCTTTTACATATTCGGCCATAGCTGCACCTTCACCAGGTAAGAGAGCATGGCCATAGCTACAAAGTAATTCAGAATCAGAAAAGGTCCATTAAAAACCATCTCAATATAATAAAACTAATCGTCTAAAGAGAGCACAAAACATTTTTTTCAAACAACAAGAATGTGCTGAGCAGTAGTGTGCTGGGAAGCCCAATGTGAATTCCTTTAATTAATGAACAATGCACTTTGACCTACATTATTAACTCAGAAACACATACATATTTTAAACAAAAGAACTGATATTAGTGAGTGTAAATTCAGGGTTTATAATTGTGGGTTTATTTATCTCTACAGGTACTGCCATTTCTGCTTCTTCCTCTAGCTCATTCCCTTTCTCTTTTTCCCTTACAAAAAAACCCTAAATGGAGAAATAATATCTCTAAAATTAATATTTTTAGACTTATAACTAATAATAATGCTATTTAGAAACAAGTATCTATTACCTTTGATTCAAAGAGACTTTAAAAGCTATTATCCCTTCATTTAATTCAGTGAATGTTTCTTGCATACCTATTAAACCCAAAGCTTGAAATATAAAAATAATCTTTGTTCTTTTGGAGTTTACATATTAATAAGGATATAATTATAATACATGGTAAAAAATGCCTTCCATAAAAGAATGGAATATGCTGTAAGGATTAAAGTGGGGTAGAAATTACAACTACTTGAAGTATTGGGAATCAGCATATGCTTCCTCTTTTTGAAAAGGGCTTTGAAGGATAAAGATTTTAACAGGAAGAAATTGGGGATAGGGAAGAAAACAGGGCAGGAATAAGAAGCAAAGGCAAGTTGGGGGGAGAAACAAGATGAATAAGGCACAAAAGTGGAAATATGTACTGTAAACAAAGGGAACTTTTAGTAGTCCAGGTCATATGGAACCTGGGGAGTAGAGGGGGATAAGCTTGGCAAGGTAAGTTACAGCCATACTTTTTGAAAGGTACATTAGATATTATAAATACACTGCAACTTACTTCAAAGGTTTGTCATCTTGAGAAGCAAGTGTTTTTGGAGCCTCTGGGCCAATTAAATCAGAGGGTTCTTCAGCCTCTGCATGAAAGATATTCAGAAACACATTCACATTTTGACCAAATGGTTACTTTACTGTTTCATCTGTTTGAGTTAAAGTCTATCAGAAGAACTTACTTGATCGATCCTTCCAGGGATTCTCTAGAAATTCTTCTTGAGAATCCTTAGAACTTGAATCACTAGACTCTTTTCTGTTCTTCTTAGACTTCTTTTTCTTATATTTCTTCCTGTAGGGATTATAATTTGATATAAATTCACTTAATATTCCCATGTTAAAAGACATTTTAATTTTTTAAGTCAGTAATGAAAATGACTTCCAAGCTAATTCAAACTTGTTAGAGAAGTTTAAGTTAAAATTTTTCTAATATTTACCCAAATCATGTTTCACTATTTAAAAAGAGATTAAAGGGAACAATGAAATATAGTTCTTATATTGTAGAAAGACAACAGAAATAAAACAGCTTAAGAACAGCTCTTACCAATTTGAGCACTAATAATATCTTTGTAATGAATTAAAATACATTAAATGTGTTTACATTTTTTGAGCTCATAATACTAAAAAAATCCAATTCATTATTTTAAAAAACAAAGCAATGATAATTGCTATATAAACTATACTTCAGGATATTTAAGTAATTGATGAGGGCAAGCTTCTTTTATAGAATTATTCTACCTAATTAATGAAGAAGGAAAGTCAGAATTAGGCTATCATCATTTTGCAAACCCTAATGAAGTAAAGGATTAGACAATAACAACCAATGGCTGCTCATATAGCAAAAAGAGACAACCAGACATTATTTTGTCTCCTAATGGAAGTAGACAGCATCACCTATGAAGCTGCCCAAATTAAGCTTGTCAAGTCTCTAGATCTATTATTGTATGGGAAATACAGAGGTCAGAAGAGCATGCTGAAGTACACTATACAAATATAATCATTACAATTTATAGACATTATTTGGATTCTGCTTTGAATAAACTGTAGAAAAAACTACTGAGAATGGAGTAATTATTGTTAAATATTTTGGGCATGATAAGAACATTGTGTGTGTGTTTTTTTTTTTTTTTAAGAATGCTTATCTTTTAGAGAAAGGTGAGCTATTTATGGATGGAATGATATTTGGGATTAGTTTCAAGACAATAGGTGATAGTGCAGACTGCCCATGAGTTGAAAATAATTCAAACTGGGTGATGAGTATATAGGGGAATCATACTGTTTTATATAATTTTATACACATTTTAGCTTTTCCACTAAAACATTATAGAAAAAAACTGACGATCTGTGTTTCTTCTTCTTTTCCTTTTTCTTAGTTTTCTTTGCTCTCCTCTTTGTAACTTCATCTGTAAATTAAAACACATTATAATTAGAAACAATTTTAAATTCTAAAACCCTAATACTTTTGAGTAGATGAAGTCTTATTGCTATACCATTTGATGTTACAGAGAAATTAATTCATACTAGTATTTATTGCAACTTGCCAGAAACTGTACTAGGCACTGGGAACATAAAATTAAAGTCATACTAGGTATAAGGCGATATCGAGTATTATTAATTTCATTGAATGAGATAACAGTTTTGTGTTTAAGTAGAAAGATGTCCTTACTTTTTAAAAATGCATATAGAAATATTTACATCAAAGTATATCTGTAACTTACTTTGACTATCTCAATAAAAGACCCATATGTGATTGTGTTATGCACATGTACAAATATGGCATAATGAGTCCTACTATTCTGTATAATTATAATGCACCAACACAAAAACATATTTGAAGCAATTATGTCAAAAATACTAACAATTGTTAAATTTGGATAAGAATATGGTATTAATTATACTATCAGTCATGCTATTCTCTTTACTTTTCTGAATGTTTATAAAGATTTTCATGATAAAAAAAGGTGAAAATATGGTATTGCGGTACAGAGAATATTTTCTAGTGGCTCAGTGTGATAGAGGAGAGAGATGGGTATAGAGATAAACATAATCCAGAGTGACAGAGGAATCTTGAAATCAGACTGATTTGGGGAGGGTGTTTGAAGAATAGTTGGCTAGGAAAAGGTGACTCTTAAGCTAGTTTAAAAAAATATCAGTTTATTACAAAAGTACTCTATGCCCATGGTTGCTATGAGTGAGTGAAGCTGGAGGAAGGGACAGACTGGTGCTGTAGGCAAAGAGCCCCTCTGTACCAAGTGACAGGGTCAAGAGAAAGAACATGGGATTCTGATCAATCAGGGTCTGAAATTTACCCTGAAGGCTAGGGAAAGCTACTGAAAGATTTTAGGTAGGGGATCGGCATCCTCAGATTTATGCTTTTTTTTTTTGGTTTTATTTTTGTGATGCTGGGGATAGAACCCAAGGCCTTGCACATATTAGGCAAGGGTTCTATCACTGAGCTCTACCCCAGCCCTAGATTTGCACTTTAAGAGAATTCAGTCTTCCAGCAGTAAGGAAGAAAAATGACAATGGGAACCAGGAAACCTGGATAACATCAGAGGAAGAGACACTTGTATATAATGTGTCAACCCCAAAGGAGGCAACTTCTGGTCATATATCAGCCAGGAGAGGGTATAAAAATGTGGCTTTTATACAAATTTACAGAAAATTAGGAAAACAAAAAGGTAAGAATATAATTAGAAAAATAAGATAATATCACACTGTTGAATTTTAACACATTTTAAAAAATATTTTTATTTGTAGATAAACAAAATACCTTTATTTATTTATTTTCATGCGGTGCTGAGGATCAAACCCAGTGCCTCACATGTGCCAGGCAAGCACTCTAACCACTGAGCCACAAAACCAGCTCAAATTGGAACACATTTAAAAATAAATTCGGTTAGTTGATGGAGTGCTTGTCTAATATTTGCAAGGCCCTGAGTTTGATCCCCAGCACCACCAAAAAAATAAAATAAATCGGATAAACAGTAAACTTTTTTTAAAGCCACCTTTTTGGTGGCTTATTGTGAAGTACCACCCCAGATGGGGTACCTTGCAGCCAACCTGAAGGGAGTACTTTATAGCATGACTTTTAAAAAAATTATACAGAGGTGGAGCCCACTGGGCATGCTAATTACACAAAAAGAGCTCTCCCCTGATGGAGCCCTGTATGGTTTCCTTTGGCACCACACATCTTGCAGCCTAACCCCAAGTTGGTTTGGGTTCCCTGTGCTATGCACAACTATGCACAATCAATTTGTAGTCAGTTAGTTTACATTTGAATCCCAAATGTGACCTTGGGTGTGGTACTTATTACCTGCTCTGTGCCTCCATTTCCTCATCTATTAGATGCTATTGTGTGGACTAAATAGCAGTAATGAATATAAAGCACACAGCAGGATGCCTACATAAAATCAAGGAGCATTCAGAAACTTTTGGCTATTATTATTTAACAACGTCCTTCTAAATAAATTTTAAGAAAAAAAAGAACTACTTTTGAAGAAAGGCTTGCAGAATGATGTTGGTTTGCTTACCACTGGAGTCTGTTTCAGAATCAGAGTCACTGTCACTATCTTCAGAATATTTCTTGTGTTTTCTTTTAGATGATTTTTTCTTTCTCTTTTTCTTAGACTTTTCTTTTGAATGACTAGACTTCTTCTTTTTCTTCTTTTCATCTGTAGGAAACACAAATTAAAAAAAACTAATTTCCTAAGAAGTATTTCTAAACATCAATTTTATTGTTTTTGAAATACTGAAAAGGAATAGATGATTGGCAATCTGAATAAAAGCAAAGTCCAATGTTCAACTACTTATAAACTTACTTTTTAAAAATATTTTTTAGTGTTGATGGACCTTTATTTTATTCATTTATTTATATGTGGTGCTGAGAATGGAACCCAGTGCCTCACCCGTGCTAGGCAAGTGTTCTACCACTGAGCCACAACTCCAGCCCCCCTAAACTTACTTTTTAAAATCAATTAAAGGGACTGGGGTTGTGGCTCAGTGGTAGAGCACTCGCCTAGCATGTGCGAGGCCCTGGGTTCGATCCTCAGCACCACATAAAAGTAAATAAACAAAATAAATGTATTGTGTACAAATAAAAAATAAATATTAAAAAAATAAAATCAATTAAAAAGTTCTATATTTAAAAAATACCTTCTGAACTAGATGCTGAAGTAGTGCTTTTCTTTGGCTCTTCATCCTCTACTGGTGTATGTTCATCAGAGCTAATTTAAAGAAAATGGTTGTAAGAATTAGAAAAGTGATGAAATATGGACCATAGCAGTATTAAACAGAGCCTTAAAATTTTCAGTAACAACACTGATTGCCTAAGAACCATAAAAGTAAGCACAGGACCATTTTTGTAAGAGCATATTTCAAGGGTCTACTACCTTCATAATAAAAAAATTCTTGCATTTCCATCATTCTACAGAGTTTATAAAGTGTTATTCAAACAAAACACAGAAAAATCTACAATTTCAGAAGAAACCACAGGGAAAAAGGAACAGAAACCATAAGGAAAGATTAAAGAACCTGGAGATAGGCTATGGAAAGACTTCAGGATTGTTTTTTGGGGGGGGTGGGGGCGGGGAGGGGGTGATGGGTACTGGGGATTGAACTCAGGCGCACTCAACCACTGAGCCAGATCTCCAGCCCTGTTTTGAATTTTATTTAGAGACAGGGTCTCACTGAGTTGCTTAGGGCCTCGCTTTTGTTGGGGCTGGCTTTGAACTTATGATCCTGCCTCAGCCTCCTGAGCATGTGCCACTGTGCCTGGAGACTTTAGGATTTTATTCTTACCTTTTTTGTCTTTTGGAAAGCTAAGGATAGAATCCAGGGCCTCAAGCATGCTAGGCAAACACTCTACCACTAAGCTACCTTCCCTGCCCCAGGATTTTATTCAAAGTGTGCAAAGGATATATGATAAAGCAACAACTGTTCTGTCTCCCCACAGCAGGAAGAACCTAATAAACTAGTTTAAAGAGATTTCATTCATTTGCAGAGAATTCTGAAAGTGAGAATTAATAAAATCTTATAATAGTTCAGAAGAAGAGTTTCCACATCATATAATCTTTTCCTCTGAAAATAAAACCTAGAATAATTTAGGAATTGTCTAGAAAATTATTTCTAGAGTTTTTTCCAACTCTAATTCTCTGAGTTCAGGTTCTTTAAGCTTTCTCCAAAGGTATCTATAAGAACAAGTTTCAAGCTATGTGTGGAGGTGCACAAATGCAATTCCAGGTACTAGGGAGGCTGAGACAGGAGGATCACAATTTTGAGGCCAGCCTCAGCAACTTAGCAAGACCCTGACTCAAAATAAAAAATAAAAAGGGCTGAGGATGTAGCTCAGTGGTAGAGTGCTCTGGGTTCAATCCCTAGTACCCCATCTAGCCCTCAAGTTTCAGATAATAATGCTTTTCATCCTGCCACAAATTATAGGTTTACCTGTCAGGCAATTTTAATTGTCTCAATTCAAATTAAAGTAGACAAAGAAATACAGAAGAGGGAAGAAAAAACTTACGAGTAGTACCAAAAGAAACAAAATAAGGGGAAAAAGCATCATACCTTCAGATAGTATTGGATATAGGAAAATCAGCTGAACAAATCCATACTAATATATTCATTTTTTAAATTTGTTTGTTTTAGTTGTAGATGGACACAATACCATTATTTTATTTATTTATTTTTATGTGGTGCCAAGGATCGAACCCAGTGTCTTGCACATGCAAGGCAGGTGCTCTACCACTGAGCCACAACCCAGCCCTCATTTTTTAATATTTATTTTTTTAGTTGTAGGTGGACACAATATCTTTATTTCATTTTTATGTGGTGCTGAGGATCAAACCCAGTGCCTCAAGTGTGCTAGGCAAGCACTCTTACCACTGAGCCACAACCCAGCCCAGTATATTCATTTTCATTTTTTTTCTTTCTTTTTTGATGTTCATTTTTAAAGAAATTTCTTTGTAATGCTATAAACTGCCATGCAATCTGAAACTGGGTTAGTGGAGAATAATAATTCAAAATAATGTATATTAACATTGAACCTTTCTAGGGGCTGGGGTTGTGGCTCAGTGGTAGAGTGCTTGCCTAGCATGTGTGAGGTACTGGGTTCGATTCTCAGCACCACATATAAATAAATAAATTCATAAAGTTCCATCAATAACTAATAAAAATTTTTTTAAAAAATTGAACCTTTCTATAAATAGGAAATTAGATGCATGGATTACAATTTAAACAGAACAATTAGCATGCTAAAGTCCACTAGCAACATGTTTAATCCTTAGATATGTTCTGTTTTTATTTTTATTTATTTGTTTATTGTTTGGTACTAGGAATTTAATCCAGAGGCACTTTACCATTGAGCTATATCCCCAACCCCCACCTTTCTTTAAATTTTGAGACAGGGTCTCACTAAGTTGCTTAGGGCCTGGCTAAATTGCTGAGGCTAGCCTCAGAGTTGCAATCCCCCTGTCTCAGCCTCCTGAGTCACTGGGATTAAGGCATATGCCACAGTGCCCAGCTTGTTCTACATTTTTAAGACGTAGGAGTAAAATAGCACAAATCACAAGAAAATAAAAAAAAAAAAAAACCTGAGATGTAAAGTTCTTTGCTTAACCATAATGTTCACAGAGCTGGGCGTAGTGGTGCACACCTGTAATCCCAGCACCCTGAGGCTGAGTTGGGAGGATCATGAATTCAAGGTCAGCCTCAGCAATTTAGCAAGGTCCTAAGCAACTCAGCAAGACCCTATCTCTGAATAAAATATAAAAAAGGGCTGGGGACATGGCTCAGTGGTTAAGCGCCCCTGGGTTCAATCTCTGGTATTAAAAAAAAAAAGTTCACAATAGAACAGGATTTAAATTAATATTATAACATATTTTTAAATCACTTACTCAGGTTCAGGATTCTTTGGAGAAAGTCCCCATACTTCAGGAGCTCCTAATTCTCCAATCCTCTCTCTCTCACTTAATCTCCTAGAGGATATAAACATTTAAATTATAACTTATGGATGGATTATTTCCTAAATGTACAATCAAATTCAACAAGAGTCCAGTTAAATCCTATTTTCCCAATGTTTTATTATACTTTTTCTTTTTAGAGCCAGGGTCTCCCTATTTTGCTCAGATTAGCCTCAAACTACTAGGGTCGAGTGATCCTTCTACCTCAGCCTCATAGGCTTCTGAGACTATAGGAGCCTGCCATCACACCTGACTTTCCTTATGTTTTAAAGTTAATAAAAACCTGGTTTAAGTGGAAATTAATCACATAGGAGTTGATGTTCTCGTAATACTATCAAATGGTACAAACTACAGATAGCCTCAGTGCCTGGATAAGAAACAATAGCTTGGGAGACTGTCCAGGGCATCCCTATGCCAAGTGCATGGCACAGCTTCTAATTGATCACTTCATTGTAATATGTGACAGAATGTTTTACATTTTGAAATAACTTTGTTCATGCATGATTAAAAAAGAAGTCTCTTTTGATTTAGTCAAACCTTCAGTTTTCAGGAAGCTAAGAATTAATAAAGAAAATAAAAATGAAGAATTAGAAATAGAAAATAAAGGGAGTTCTGAAAATAAAAGAAAAAATTATTTGGCAAATATTATACTCAATGAGATGTCAGGTTTGTTCCCTCAGTTTTCCCTTTAGCTCCTTTTTGGAAAAGGAGTACATTCTCTGTTCTTTGGAGGACACTAAAATTGTTTAATTATTTTGCTTTATGATGTTTGTGATTTATTCTGTTTTAATTTTTGCTATTTTTCATAAACTGAAAAAAAAAACCCTAAGGCTCAGTTCCTCAAAGTTTAGCTGTTTTAGATTCCATTTGTTTTTAATAATCCTTCAAAATAAACATAATTGGTTTGAATTTTTTACTTCTTTATTCAGGGGAAAAGATATAGCTATATAGAGTCAGTCTCAAAGGGTTTGCCACTTTGAAGAAACAGCCCCAAAGGGGCCATACTTGTAACTGTATTTAGAATACACAACTATAGGGGAAAGAATGCTGTCAGACTCTGAAGAACATAAAGTCCTGTTCTTATACCTGTTGCCATCTGGCTTCATCTGCACTGTTAAGACAAATTATTTATCTTCTAAATGTACAAATGCAAATTTCACTTAAGCATGGGGCTGGGGTTGTACCTTGGTGGTACAGCGCCTGCCTAGCACATGTGAGGCACTGGGTTTTATCCTCAGCACCACACAAAAATAAATAAATAAATAGATGTATTTTGCTCATCTATAACTAAAATTAAAAAAAAAAAACTTAAGCAGTTCTGATATTTTTTGGTGAGGATTCACCAGCAAGAAGCCATTTGCTGATATATATACATTCCATGTATGTATTATATGTCAAAATGCATTCTACTGTCATGTATGACTAAAAATAAATAAATAAATAAAAATTTAAAAAAAAGAAGCCATTTGCTTTTTGAGTGATATATTCTATGGATACTTTTCTGAACAATTTAACTTGGGTAGGTCTTTTAACCTAATTCAGGACTGTTTTTATTTTCTGCTTCCATGCATGAGGCACTAATAGCTAACAGTTATGGGATATTTATTATGTTCCAGGCACTAAATTATTACAACCTTAAAAGACATGGTACTAATTTTATCTACCCCCATACCCTCACCCTGCTTTTTTTTTTTTTACAATACTCAGGATGGAACCCAGGGCCTCAAGTATGTTCAGTGAACACTCTACCATTGAGCTATATCCCAGCCTCAGCATCTTTATAATGGTGAAGAAATGACGTTCACAGAGGTTAAATTAACTTTCACAAGGCTGCACTGCTATTAGGTGGATAACAAAGGTTTCAAGCAGTCTGATTCTGGAGCCTGTCCTTCTCATCACTATACTTTATTAGTTCCCACTGCTGGAAGAAAAAGAATCATGAAGCCATCTCCCAACTGTTGGAACTTTAACTTGCCCCTCAATGCCTGTAATACTTTCAAACGTCTCGTTTCTTAAACACATAGTGCATGGCTTAGTACAATGCCCAACACGTAATGTTTAATAAATATTAGATATTGTGAGTCACACAGCAATGATTCTAAGCCTCTTCCTCTTCCTTAAACCAGGCACTTTCCCACTCCAATATTCATTCTTATTAGAGGAGACCCAATCTCACCTTGACATCATTTTTCACCAACAAGATTGAGACCACTTACCCAGATCTTTCTTAAGGTAACTACATCTACAGCTAAGCAGATCACTTCCCCCACATTCATGTAATTATCTTGTGCAATATAAATCCTTAATTTCAACTCTTTCCAATTCCGTACAAAACATTTCCATTGATATATTCCGTTATCTCAAACTTGTCTGTTTCTCCACTCAAGCAATGATTGATTGCATGTCGAATTCTGGAACCAACAGAATAGTGATCCTTCTTTCCATGAATTCAGTTTGTGAGAAATAAAATCATGCTCACGACTGATAATGACACAGCCAAGTAAATGCTATAATTCCGGTAGATCTGAGGCTCTTGGAGACGTCTGCTAACAAGCCAGGAGCGGGTAAGGGGACAGCGATAAAATAGGGCGCTGTATAAAGGGACCCGCCGACAAGTGAAAATATATGGGAAATAAAGGCAGAATACAAGGTTGCCGTGAGTGGAATGAAGAAAGGGACGAAAATGGGTGCAAGACAGGTAGAACGAAATGCGAATAGTCAGAAACACAATGAACGATAAATCGGACTCGAAAGGTGAGGGGGCTCATACAAGAAAAGATGCGGCGAGCTCACTCACTTCTGCCGCAGGCTCTCTTCCCTCTCCTTGTCCAGAAGGCTAGGCCACGGCTTGTCGCTCCCGTAGGGGCGTGAGTAGCTTCCATAATACGTGGACGAGGAGGCAGAAGCAAAAGGGGTGTTCCGTGGCGCAGAGGGCCGCTCTCGAGAGCGCGAACGCGAGCGCGAGCGGTACGACTGGTTTCGGGAACCTTGGCTGAGACCACCCAGCTGATGACTTAGGCCATTCTTGTCACCAGACCGAGAACAAGAACGCGAGCGAGACCGGCGACACCGCGGGGAGCGGGAAGATTTGCTGGGTTTGGGGCTCTTCGACGAACTGCGGCGTCTTCCTCCGGAGCCAGAGGCCTCCCGCTCAGGGCTGCGCGAACTGGACACTGGAGCCATTACCGCAGCTGTGCCCCCGAAGCTGAGGGCCAAGGGGGCGCTCTTGTGACCCCGGGATGATTCCCGGTTGCCTTGGCTCCCACAGCTCGCCGCCGAGCAACCTCCCAAACCTGAAGAAACCTTGGAAACAGTTCCGGGTACGTCAGCAAATACCTTCCCCAGACCTAAGGGCTCCTCCCAACCGGAAGGGGCAGTTACCAGTATAAATAAGCCGGTCTGGAAACTGGGTCCGCGCATTTGTTCAGTTCCGACAGAGGTTCAGCAAATCTAAGGCGCGTAGGAGATCAAGTCCTTTCTCAGATTCGAACTTGAAATACCTGAAGAGAAGGTCCACGGAACACAGGATATGTTTCACTGAGTAACCATGTGAACAACACACAATTCTGCATGTGTTTCGTGTGCTTTCTCTGTATAATTATATAGACATGTATATGTATATGAATGTATGTACTTTATGCATATATACATATATATATATATATATATAT